GGTCTGTTGATTATCTTCTCTGTTATAGATTCAGATCTTTGTGAGGAAGTTTCGTCATCATGCCCGTAGTTGTCTCCAAGATCCTCCATAGCGTGATCTAAGTCTCTATCAGTTTCCTTCTGGATGTCTTCAGCAGTTTTTTCATTGTGATTCTCATCCGTCAGTTTTGTGGTGCTAAACTTATACACTCGATACTTATTCTGCTTTATTGGAATACCCTCAGAAGCCTTGCTATTCTCTATGGGATCGGGAGTAGTCGATCTTTGCCTGAAGAGTTTCCTACGCTTATCAGGCTTGCTCCTCTCAGTAGTTGAGAATCTCCTTGACACTTCTTTTTCTAACACGCTTTCCGTTGTGGAAGGTGCACGGTTTATACCACTGAGCTTATTCAGGTTCCTGGGGTTAAACCTTGGTCTAGCATCTACGGGTCTCAAGCTCGATCTAGGCTTGTAGGTAGTTGTAGTTCTTTGTGTGGTTGTTGTGGTGATATCAAGAGACTGTGTGGCGTCAGCAGCAGATGTACTGGAATCTGATAGATCCGTGATTATGTCAAATGGAGGAGAGCTTAAATCAGGGTCACTGTCATTTATTGGAGCAAGTGTACTATCTGTGAACATACTAATCGTGGATGTATCAATATGTTCTGAGACGTAATTCTCAGTATCTTTAGTCGTTTTGAAGTTGTCCATGATACTAGTGATATCTCGATCTGTTGTTGATGTTATTGGTATAGTTTCCGTGGCCGAAGGTTCCTCTACAGTAGTGCTATTCTCTGTAGCAGTTGTGGTATCGCTAGGCGGAATAGTGTGTGTGTCCAACGACGTGACTTGCGTGGTTTTCAGAACCTTCGTCGTCTTCCGTTTTGGCGTTTTGTCAGGTCCAAAACCAATTTCCTCTTCATCTTCATTGAATCCTTCATCATCATCGTTATCAAATTCTTCTTCTGGATCAGAGCTATCAAACGTGAATGTATAGATGGTTTCTTTCGTTGTTCGACTTCTAGTAAACGTTTTGTATTTGTTATTCTTATCATCTTCAGATGTTGTTGATTTGGCAGATTTTGGGGTTTGGCTTGACTCGTTAGGCAAACTATCTGTTACAAATGTTGAAGACCGTACAGTAGTGCTTGGTATCTCTGTAGTTGTACTATCATCTACGTCTGTGTCATCTGATTCAACCAGGGTGCTACGGATTACAGTGATGTTCACAGATTTCTCCTTTTCTTCTAGTTTGGTTGTTTTACTTTTGTTGTCGCTATGCTCGTCTTCTTTTGGCGATGACTTTTGCCCGCCATCTTCTACGTCTTCCTTGTGGCCATGGTCTTTAGATATCACTGTTTTCTGCACATATTCTTCAATGTCGTCTTTAAGTCCATACTCTCCGGTTTCGTCTTTAACAGCAGGTTTGGCTATGTGCGTCTGTGGCTGGAACAGGTGTTGCCTAAAAGCTTTCTCATCGACCTTAGATGTGGCATTTTTCGTTTTTGAGACTGGAACTTTGTTATATTTGATAACTGGTCTCACTCTACGAATAATCTTCCTCCTTCTATTGGAAGTAGTTGTAGGCGCCTTTGTTGTAGTTGTAGTAGTACTAGAAGGCCTCTTTATAATCTTTCTTGCAGGTGGTTTTGACCTTTCGGTGGTTCCTTTAACTTTTCTTCCAAAGGAATCATCTTTTCCAAAGAAGTCATCGTTCTTGCCAAAACTCTTTACTCGTTCTTTACCAATAAAGCTATTGATTTCACTATTTTCTCTTATATTAGACTCGGATAGTTTGATGTTCTCGTCATCTTCCAAGCTGGAATCTTCAAAACCTTCATCGCTGTCATCTTCTACTTTGTTGTCCTGGAAACCAAATTCGAGGTCAGGATCAAAAGAAGACTCGTCGAACGAAGATTTTTTGGTGGTACTTTTGGCGGTGGTAAAGATACCAGCTTTAGTTGTCGGTCTGACTCTTCGTATTATTTTTCTAGTTCTTGAGGTGAACAATGATTTTGTTGACGGAGAAATTCCTTTTGTCACTTTGCTGATTGTATTTTCTGTAGAAGTTGGTTGCCTATTTCTAAAGCCACGTACTTTTGCACCAGCTACAGCAGTGTTTTGTTCTCCGCCATTTTCGTTTCTCCTGACTGGTCTCCTAGTAGACTTGGGAGACTCTGTTGTGACAGCAGAGTTTGTTGGTCTTATTCTTCTCCTGCGTGTATTATCTCCCAAACTAAGGCCTCGAATCTTATCAGTATCAACTGCGGTTAGTGAAGATAGATCTGCTAGTTCTGGATCTCCTGGTCGGTATGACCGGTTTTCATCAAATACTTTCTCCGTGGTAGAAATGAGTCTTCTTCTTGCAGATGGTAAGGTTGCTGATATCTCCGAACTGTCTCCTCCAGAACTCTTGGTGGAGAATCTGGATACACCTCTAGTTCTTTGTGGGGCTGAAGTGCTCGCTTGCTCACCTACCTCTGGCTTAGCTCTTAACCGAAATTTGTAATTTTTATGACTCACCTTTGGGCTACTTTCTGATACAGGTTTAATCGTAGTACTCCGTATGATTGGGCGTTTGGTTTGAGTTGTGGTTTCTTCGGTACTTGAGGTGAAGCGGGTGATTCTGGTTGTAGGTTGTTGAGGTGTCGTGGAAGTGCTGATTGTTTTAGTTTTCGTGGAAGGCACAACTTCCGTTGTGATTATGTCGTTGATGCTGTCTGTGTTGAGATTGTATGGTGTTGTTGTACCGATGGACGCAGTTGATCTGTAAGAAAATAAGCAATTGAACGATCTGGATGTAAGGAGTTGGTAGAGTTGCCAAAAATAATGAGTGTGATCCTAATTGAGGTAATGTTTTTGCAACAGTTTTCAGCCCTGACACATGCGCTGTTTTGATGAGCAATCTGCTGTAGGTTCACAGTGAAGCTAATATTTTGACAATAATGTAGGAAAACTAAAAACTGGCTTACCCTGCTTGTTGCTCAGGATTAGCTGATACAGCAGTGATCTCTCCTGTCTCGGATGCAAGTCCCGCAGTTTGAGATTTTGCAATTCCATCTGTATTAGTCGGTTTTTCGGAAGATTCTCTGTTGACACTTGTATATCTATAAAAAAGATATTTGAAAGGACACGGTATTTGACCAAAACACGATTGCTTACTTTTTAGTTGTTCCTTCTGTAGTGCCTATAGTGGTAATGACAGAAGTGCTAGTTCCTCTTCTACCTTGTGTGCTGAAAAAACAAATATTCAAATATAGATAAGTATAGAGGGGGGTTCTACCAGTGCTAATTTTTTTAATTGCATGTTTACATATATGCATAAGCTATGGAAAGACAAACAAGATGGTACTATTTATGTATTATTATACCTTGTTGATGTATCTTCTTCAGTTGATGTTGCTGGAGTCGTAGTACCTCTTCTGATTGTATGATACTTTGAGGTGGTACCTTCAGAATCTCCTTCTGAGCTGGTAGAAGCGGATTCTGTGGTTGACCTCCTGATTTCCACGTATTTTGAAGTAGATGGTCCCTCAGTCGTGGACGGTCGTTGTCTTCTTATGTTCACGTATTGAGGGGTGCTTGGATTTCTGTTTCTGTTTTCTCCATATTCATCTAAATCGACGTCTACATCGTCCAAGTCGATATCGTCTTCGAGTATTTCGCCAAGAATCTTATTTCGGTTGAAGTAGCTGAAAACAAATGTTTGATGCGAAAAAGTGAGAAAAATTTTAGTCAATCTCTGAATGTCTGCTGTACTCTTTAGCATCATTTGGAAAGCGTTTGACTGCTAGTTTTAGAGTATTTGCAACTAACAGAAACATAATATTTTGCCTGAAGGAAATCCTGATCGTTATTTTAGTAGATTCTTCCAGTTGAGAAGGATGTATCGAAATTTTAAGCCTTGGATAAGGTGAGTAGAGAAATTTTAAAGATGAAACTATACCTGTCAACTTCTGACTCTGTTGTACTACTGACTCTAGGTCTTCTAATATTCACGTAATTCGGTTTAAAATACGACTTTCTAGATTTTGAACTGCTTTCTTCTTCTTCATCTTCTGAAGGATCTTCATCGATATCAACGTCAGCGTCAGCATCTACATCATCATCCTCGTTTTCTTCGTCGTCTACGTCCGGCGCTTTTGTTGTCGAAGGCCTGAAATACATTCATTTTATTTTAGTTATTTTTTGTCAAACATAGGTGTAAAATATGTCTCATTGTACAAGAAGATTTCGATATCCAATTAAATGCAAAAAATACTGTCTTTATTCGAATTAAAGAGAAGATTCTTACCTGTTTCTGGCAATAGATGTATATTGCAGCTTTCCTCTATCACTTTTTCCTCTTGAAGAAGTTGCCTTAGCTTCAGTTGCTTCACTTTGAGGTCCACTGCTGTTTCTGATTGAGGTATAACTGGGACGATCACTATAAGAGGAAGAGAGAGACTTTTGTACTGCATCTTCTAGGTTATACTATCGGTAGCTGAATGCATTATTCAAGTGAACATTTCATAAGCTTAGTCTTCACATATTATTTTGAATACAGAGAACATCATATAGAGAGTGCAATATGCTTACCTGTTCTTCTTTGTTTTGAATGAAGGTCGTCCCGCCTTGCTCAAAACCCTTTCATAAAGAGACTTGCTTATGGATGACTGTGTAGTTGATCCACTAGTCCCGCTAGAAGATGAAGATTCACTTGAACGGTTCAGCTGTTTTTCAAGCTCCTCAATGCCTCCTGCTTTCTTGATGAGCTCAATCAGTTCTTTGATCACCTTTGGATCTTCCTCAGGCTCAACTTTCCCTGTTTTGGAATCGATCTCTTCGTCTTCTTCATAATCTTCTTCATCATCCTGAAACAAATAATGCTACTGCTAGTACTTGACCAAAGATGCTCAAATTCTTTGAGAGTGTTTTTCCAATTTTCCCTCTACCTCAACTATTGCAAGCAATAACCTCTGTATATTTCTTGGGTGTCAGTTATCGACGTATCGAGGGAAATTGAGGTAGGATGCTAGTTCCATTGCTTATCAACTAGTCTTTCATATATCTGTCATTGTCACCTATATTCTACGATTTTGCTACCAAAATGGAATACTTCAACGATAAAATTGAGAAAAAAGACGTCTTCAAGGACCTTACGACCTATACAAACGACTACAAGAAATATAAAAACTACCAGCGAGATCTATATCGAGGCCAGAAATTCAAGTTGGAGAAGCCTATAAGATCTCAACCAAAACCTGCGTATTCTGATCACGAATCATTCGATAGATGGAAAGATGATGCTTACGTACCGTCAACATTGTTCATAGAACCAAAACCTATAATCAGGACCAGTCCACAAGACCGATTTGTGAAATTGGACCCTTCTGTAGTCGAGGATCATGGGAAATTGGAGTCTATCAAAACTAGACCAAGGTAGTTTTCTAAATACAAAGTTCTGAGTTCGATCATGAGGCTCGTTGTAGACCCCTCAACAATCAGTATTTCAAAAAGTCTTTTGGACTGTTTGTCTCTTGCCTGTCGATTATTTCTTAAGTACGCTCTATTATTACGGTTGAGACAAGGTATTGTTGGATCTAGTTGCAATGAGAGTGAATTAGTGTGTATATCACAACAGCAGTGAGCTTAATTTCAGGATTTGTTGAGTAGACTTTCTCTAAGGTGGAGCTAAGAGGCTTGTATGATCTGATATTAGAGGTAGCTAAGTTTAATTTTAGAGTATATATGACGCCAGCTGTAAGTATGGACGATATACCTGACCCAGAAATGAGGAAGTTGCTGATAAACAGAATGTACACCACAGAATGGAGAAATGCAGTAAAAGAAGCGACATTGACCTGGAAGAAGATTATTCCAGAAATTAGTACCATTGAAACAACTGATACAGTAAGCAAGAGTTTTTTTTCTCAAGGTCAACACCATTCTGCATTGGAGGAAAAGTAATCACCCAATCGTAATCGTCTCATTATCATGTTCACATCCGCTGCAGAAAAACATATATTATTTAAGTGTCATCTCTCTGTCTGGATACGGTAGGTCGCGTGCACCGCCGTTTACAGTGTCAAGCGGCGGTTAATTGACGCGTACTCTACATGCAGGTACGGACTTTCCAACAGTGAATAGCCTGACAGTGTTAAGTCGTAAAGTCCATAGCAAACTGAGAATGTCTCCTGAACATAGACAGTAGCAGGTCTGTCTTGAGCTATGTAGGAGCCCCTTGGCACACATGTACCTCTGGGTCTGTGGTTGGAGGAGACATAGGCCAGAGCGAAGTCCAGGGCCCCAGTTTTTCGTTAGGGGAAATTGAACAGGCGGTACTCGGACTTTTTTTTTGGAAATTTTCTTTGACTTAGGAGCCCTTATCCTAGGCACGGGTCCTATGTGCCCATAGGGTAAAGACGGAATAGACAGTCAATTTTTTACTACTCCAAGAATATAACCGAGAAATTCTCTAGTGAATAGATAGCGATAGAACTTTGTCGGCGTGCTCTTACAATACCGTAACGTTCCGGATACCCACTATATTTTGTGAGCTAATTATTGTAAAAAAAACTAAGTTTTACCCAGCTACCCAATAGTGACCTTGAATTTGACCTTAACAATGATTGAAGGTCATTTGAAGGTCAAGCCGACTTTTAAATGAATTGCCCCATTTTTGAGTATATAAATCATACATCGGGTAATTTTACGTTCATATATGGTTTTCACCGTCCTTAAATTTCGACTTTAGAGGTCATGGTCAAGGTCAAACCCAGGTAGGGTGATATAACTATATAAAACCGGTAGTCGTATAGGTAGACTACCGAGACATTATTTTCATGATTTTCCTGAGATATCCAATCGTGACCTTGATCATGACCTGCAAGGTCATCTGGCGGTCAACTCTGTTATTGAATGAGACCCTATACTTTGACCGCTTAAATGGAGAAAAGGGAAAATGTTATTTTTGAATATGACCTTGAACTTAATTATTAAGGCCAAACACAATATTATCTTAATTCCCTGTTATTTCAGAAAACTGTGTAATCTTTGCTGAGGTCGATTCTAAGGTCACCTTTGGATATCTGGGAAAAATAAAAATGTCTCGGTAGTTTCGCTATACGACTACCGGTTTTCAAGTTATATCACCGTAAATGGGTTTGACCTTGACCATACATCCCAAGGTCAATATTTAATAATGATCAAGGCCATATTTGGACGTAAAATTTTCCGCACTTTGAATTTACGGGGTAAAAAAGGGAGCTCTTGACCTTCAAATGACCTTGAAAGTCATTGGATTGTTAGTGATCCTTCACGAGGCAAAAGTTATATTGTTGCTGGTGGAGGCATTTATGAGTACAAAATGGAAATTTAGTACTGATCTTGTTAGTCAAGAAGAAGATAGATGCCTAATATTCATTCAAAATTATTTCATAGGTTGCATTGAAGGTAGATCAGTATCTCCCAATAGGAGAACAGTACAGGGATCGCGCCAAAGCATGGGATGACGAACAGATGAGAGGTTACTCTGATCCTACCAGGGACTTCTGGATCCACAAGGACCCCCCTGTCGTATGCGGCGCTTGTGTGGACCCCCTTAAATTCATCGTACCGGAAGAGCAAAAAGTCGTTATCCGTATGCAAACTTTCTTTTTTCACACACCTGAGCCGATTAATATTCAACACTCCGATGACCCAATCATCAATGTTATGATTTTATCTGTTCAGAATAATTTATAATGTTAGATAATTATTTAGATTAGTGTTTGGGTTGCGATGCATTCGATACTTTAGTTTTTAAGCAGCCGTATGTTGATGATTATGAAATTTGTCCATCAAGGACTATATTAACGTGTGATCGATTGTTTTTCCGAGAAGGTCACGTGACGTGTGGGGTTCGGGGCGTGTGACGTCGACGCAGTTTTTCCGGTTTTTTCCGGGTTCACGAAACGTTCGAAAGGAAAGCGATACCGTTTCGGAAACTATAAACTAGGCGCTTTACGGGCGGGCGAGAGCCGTTGCGGTAAGAGGAAGAAACGCGATAGAAAACGGCTGTCAAAGTCGAAAAAACGGTAGATTTTCGCGCGGTACGGAGACTTTTTTATCAGCCGTCTCGCTATTTATCGAAATATCGACTCGAGATCGGTCTCGTTCGATAGCTACTTTTCGTAGTTCAATAGTTTTAAATAAACTTACATACTTAATCTAAGTAAACGGTTAGATAAATTTAAAACGGCTGCGTTGCGATTTAATGAAACTAGTAGTAGTAGTTTCACAGATTCAACTGAAGTGTTCCAGATATTTGAGTTTAATTGAGTTATTTAAATTTCTTAGCTGTCAAATAGATGATTAAAAATTTTATTTGGCTTAATTAACATTTTTTTTTAATTTTTTTCTCAGAGTGTGTAAATCGAACGCGACTAATAAATACGGTACTATGACATCAAAATACTCTTTTCCGAAATTTATGCAAACAATCTGTTCCTTAAGATTGTATTGGTTTTCTCGACAATTTCTAATAAACAATATCTGATTTAGGCGACCTGATAGCTGAAGAAAAACTAAGACAGCCCCACGATTTGGTATGTCCGACTCACACAGGATATAGACCAATGCTGTCAGCTGGTGTTTCACTTGGAAAAAAACCGATCACTCCAGATCATCCAATGATGACCACTAATCAAGTAGTTACTTTCCACCATGAAGAAGAACTAAGAAATAAACGAAATTCGAAATGATCTGCTTTTTGAGTATCAACAATTTTGTATTCTCATTTTCACATTACGTAAACAACTGCAACCTGATATTCGTACTTGCTGCTACGCAACGAATTCAGACTATGTTAAAGGAGCAATCCTAGGATTTGTTTATCTCCAAACTGTCAGTCTGTAGTCAGTCAAGTGGGGCTGGAATAAGGTAATTTTTTGACTAAATTCATATTTTAGTGTTATTGAGTGCGAGTGTTTGCAGATAGTTGTGGTGTGGCGATTTCAGGAGATGGTACTTCTCGCATAATCTGCACAAGCCTAATGAATGAATGTAAGTATTGTTATGCTGATACAACGTTGTCACTTTGGTAGGCAATGGTAGTCAATGCACTAAGACTATGGAGACGAACAATTCAATCTAAGCATATAAGTTTGACTCCTAATCTAGTTGAATTCGTTGGTTCGTATAGTCCCCCCAAGAAGGAATGGCGCAACGATCGTTTTGCTGATATTTACCTAAATTTCTGCAACCAGCATTTCGCTAGCATGTTTTGCGGGTTGCAGTATCATAGGAAACTAAATGTGCATACTTTTATAAGGTGTGACGAAGGAAATACGACCAAGCTATGTGAGACGTCTTGGCCTTCAGGTGTACTGGTGAAAACGCTTGCTTCTCAAGAAGTTTCCATAACTATGTGGCCAACTTGATACTGGTAACAATACAAGTTATGTCTTGAAGAGCATTTGAACCATGGCTCTATCCAGGTAGAGGAAGTGTTATAAGATCTGGGTTTTTTAAGAGTCACATTTATTGAAGGACCCTGAGTGCTGTTTGAGAAAATATTTCCTTTTGAATTTAAAACAAATAATAATGCTTCCTTGTGGAACCGTCATGAACGGCATTTTATTTCTCAGGTTTACCTTGTAAGATTCCGTGGTAGTAGTCGTTGTGGTAGTTGTAGGTCTTGTGATTGGACTTATCCTTGGAGGTGCTCTGGAAGTAGCAAATATCGAAGTCGGCAATTCGTTGGTTCGGATAGTCCCCCCAAGAAGGAATGGCGCAACGATCGTTTTGCTGATGTTTACCTAAATTTCTGCAACCAGCATTTCGCTAGCATGCTTTGCGGGTTGCAGTATCGTAGGAAACTAAATGTGCATACTTTTATAAGATGTGACGAAGGAAATACGACCAAGCTATGTGAGACGTCTTAGGCTTCAAGTGTACTGGTAAAAACGCTTGTTTCTCAAGAAGTTTCCATAACTATGTGGCCAACTTGATACTGGTAACAATACAAGTTATGTCTTGAAGAGCATTTGAACCATGGCTCTATCCAAGTAGAGGAAAAGTTATAAGATCTGGGTTTTTTAAGAGTCACATTTATTGAAGGACCCTGAGTGCTGTTTGAGAAAATGTTTCTTTTTGAATTTTAAACAAATAATAATGCTTCCTTGTGGAACCGTCATGAACGGCATTTCATTTCTCAGGTTTACCTTGTAAGCTTCCGTGGTAGTAGTCGTTGTGGTAGTTGTAGGTCTTGTGATTGGACTTATCCTTGGAGGTGCTCTGGAAGTAGCAAATATCGAAGTCGGCAACCTGCCGGATGTGGTTGATACAGGTGCCGAAGTTGTCGTGGTAGCTTTGGTAGTCGTGGCTGAAGATTTTTGGAGTTTCTTGTTGCAGAGTACGTTCTGGGAGTAGTCGCAAGAATCCGCCGCTTTGTTGAAGTACAAGCCTGATAATGAAATAGAATGGTATCAAATTAATACGAAGAACAGCTTCTTTACTAGCTTGTATACAGATGTATGTACGCGAACTTGAGCTGTCGACTGTGAATAATCAGAGCAGTCAAGCGGTATATCATCAGTTCTCGTTATTCATTAGTCAGATGAAGACAAGTTTGACAGCTCCCTGGCCGAAGGACTCACACAAGGTCATATAGAGCATCAGTAACATCAAATCTTACCTGCGGGGCACGTGAACTGATGGGCCACGATTCCAGAATCTCCAGCACCATTCAGGCACCAGTAGTACTTTTTGCAGTCTTTGGGATGTGGATAAAATCCCTCATCTTCACATTTAAAACCTGAACAGAAACGAAACATTAAATTTTCACATGGATGAACACCAGTCTAATTTTATTACCTCCAGCCATGTCGGGTGTTGATGGTGGTTCAGGAGTAGTGTAACTTGGAGTAACTATCAGACTGCTATAAGTTGACGACTCTTCCGATTTCGGTTCTGGTTTTTGCTCCGGCTTTGCGATATTTCGTCTAGGCTTCACTATTTCTTTGCTGGAGCTCTCTTTCGACTTAGTCTTAAACCTGAAAGAAGACAAATTCAAAATTAACGCGACAAAATAATTTTTGAGATAAGAATTTCGGATCCTCATTCCACAGCATAGCTTTACTTAAAATCGGCACTTGATTTACTAGAAGCTAGAATTTATCTAACGCGAATGTCACTTGATCAGTATTTACTCTGATTAATCATAGAACATTACGAGTATATTTATTGACCGTGTTGCCAGAAATGCAGAAACGCAGAAATCCACTTACTTTGCCAGAATCATTAGTAAATATTGATGGTATTTGTTCGTTTGTTGAAGATTTCTTTAGCATTAATGCTACAATTTCAATTTTGTATAATTATTCGTTTACACATTTTTGACTCACATTTAAGTTTACATTCTCGTCTATTAACGCATTTTGGGTATTCATAAAGGGATTCTTTATTTTCATCTTAAACATTTCTAATTTCATTATTCAATTTCTTAAATTCAAATACTCCCTTCTGAAGTGCAGATTTGCTAGTTATGGTACTATTAGAATTTTGCAGATGAAAATCTATACTGCCTCTAGTTTCGTAGTTATGATAATGACTATTTAATTTTGTAAAGTTTTTTAAATAATGTGGCGATAATTGATGATTATTTAATTTAAATATGAAAACGAGAACTAAATAACATACATTTTTTTACATTCGACCACTGTAGTTCTTCTAGACTCAATCTTAGCATATTTATTTTATTTAAAATAATTCTTATAGCATTATTCTGTAGAATTCGTAATTTTGAAAATATGGCTTCATTTGCTGTAAACAAAAAAGCTGAACGATATAAAATTGGGGAAAAATTATAGTGGTATCAATCTATGGAAGTTGTTTATCTTTTTTGATATAATGCATTCATAATAGATCACAGTAAATATTGATCTTGTTACAGTCTTTCACAAAACGTTATTATCAATAATGTACAATTCCAAAACAACGAAAGCCTTAATACCCAAGCCTTGATATTTGATCTGTTATGTTATATGTCATTTTGTTGCTAACTGTACCAACCTGTTTCGCCTTCTGGTTGCAGTGGTTTCAACCTTAACTTCCTTCTCTGGTTGAACATAGATAACTCGTTCAGTCGTTGAAGTAGTCGGTCTCGATCGTGTTTTGGACTTTATCGGTTTTGACGGTGGTGCAATCAGATTTTCATTGGACAACCTGAAAGCCAAAAACCAACACTGCAATGTAATGAAATTGACGAAGCCAGAACTTAAAACTCCGGTGATCTAGGTATAGATAATTCCGATATGACATCCATAGCAAATAATGGAGTTGAGGATAGAACGTTTTCCCAAGCATTTTTGGAGAAATAAACAAGTCGACTTGGAGCACAAAAGTATGAGCTGTTCAGTGGTAGGTCTGGAACCTTATTTTGAGTGGAGGGCAACGGCGGGCGGATCCAGGATTTGTGTCTGGGGGGGGGGAGGGGGGTCACACTGGTCAAAAAACTTTATGTTTAGGAAGATTTTCTTCTCGTTGATGACAAACCTACCCTTCTACCCTTAGGGTATAGCCTAAAAGTGATTAAAATATTAAATCTAATCTAAAAATGAACAATTTATTGATGTTGCGAATCGATTAATGTTGATACTTACCATCTCCTTTCAATCCAGTGCAACAACTTTTTTGTGGTTTTGTCCGTCACAGTGGCGGATTTAAGTAATGGCAAAATGGATATTACCGCCTGGACCCTCCAGGGAAGGGTGGTCACAGGGCCCCCCAACAAAAATCAGCTCTGTCTATATTGTTCAGCGCGTCTGATTGTAAAATTGATAACAAGAAATCAGAGTGTTGTTATATTCTTTTAATGACCATCTGCGTAATGTTTATGAAACAGCGCGTTAGCATTCAGTTTGAATAAAAAAAATTCCCTTTCATTTCTCAAGAAATTTTTTGTAAAACTTTATTTCTAAAAAAATGACCGAATAACCCTTTTATTGCTCAAGGAGTGGAATAATTGTTTCTTTCATTTTGTGCTTACAGTGATATACTCGTATTATTACCTGGCATATAATGTTCAGTAAATAAATATCTTGGTGGTATGAATCAGCCTCTTAGACTCTAATGCATCTATTACAGACTTTTCGCCATAAATTTTCACAATACTGTGCTTTCCTTTATTTGATGACATATCTATTTTCTTCGTGATAATATCGTGGAAGAATTTTTTTGAATGTATTATCAATTGCATAGAAGATGAAATCTCAAGAATGGGAGCTTCTAAATCTTCAATACAGTTCAGAATATTTCTTTGTTTAAAGTCGCTCGGAAGAGGTCAGACAGGTCAAAGGTCCTACTTATCCTAAAACATTGAGGTAGGAGACGTTTCCGAGAAACTTTTCCCAAGATATGCAAGTCGTACTTGGAGCACAAACGCTTGAGCTGTTAGTTGATTTACGTAGTGGTAGTTCTAGAACCTTATTTTAAGTAGTGAGAGAGAGAAAGTGAAAAGTGAATCATTGGCATATTGTATAGAAAAATAAGATTCCTGTGTATTGGTGCCTATACAGGGTGTCCGCAAAGTTGGGGTTTTCCTTTACACGACGTGTAGATCTTGAAAACATAAGCAATTTTTCTTAGTACCATATACACCAATGTCTTAAGGGAACCGAGATAAAGGGCTCTGCAACATCAAAAATATCTGAATACCGTCCTGTAGCCGCGACATCACCGACTGGTACAAGGTCACTGGCTC